GTAAATATTTTTTTCAATTCATTTAGACGTTCATCTCTTGTTTTCTCGTAGCTAACTATTGTGCAGACTCTTCTTGCTAAATTGTACGGGATCTAGCGTTTCGTATAGCTAGGATGACAGGCACTGAAATGAAGATATTGATGGGTGTCCGTCGGGTTGTAGTATATGTCTGTCGAAAGACATTCTCAATCTTTTTTTAATTAGGACGTCCAAAATTGGAATACTTTGTAAACTTTCTTCCATTGTGAAGTTGATGTCAGGATCTACATCATTCATAATATTTAGGAAAGCTGCTAGATTCGCATTTCTGTAATTCAAAATTATAAAACTATCATCGAGGTATCTTTTCCAATTGTTTTTTTTTTATATTTTCTGTAGTTTGTTGGTCATAGTACCGACTTGTTCTTTCATGCATCTTTTCTTCTCGATATCCTATTGTAAGGGTGGCATGAGTAGGGGCCATTTTCGTTCCCATTGCTGTTCCTTTCTTTTGTGCATAATGCTTGTCGTTAAAGTAGAAAGTATTATTTTGCAATACTATCTTACTAGCCTCTAAGATGAAGTCTTTGCTGAAACAATCATTATTTTTTTGTGTATATTTATCAATGCAGTATTCGAGCGCCTTGACACCAAGTTCAGTAGTAATATTAGTGTAGAAGTTGTTTAACAGACAAAGAAGAGGGCTTCTTAATAAATTTTGATTTCAGAGAAAGTGCCATTTATGGACTTCCTAAGATACACAGACAATAAAGGAAGCGATTAAAATACAAAACTGCATATGTTACATTTGACGACCCGGAAGATATCACATTTAGACCTATCGTAGGTGGACCAAATGCTCCTACACAAAGGCTGAGTCATCTTATGGACATATTACTGAAACCTTAAATCTTGACCTTTTTACAAATATGTATATAATATTTTTAGGCCACTATTAAAATTTATATCAGAAGTATGGGATAATATTTCCGCAGCTGACTTTGATAGGCTGGAGAAATTGTAATTAAAGGTTGCACGTATCATTACTGGCCTTCCTATCTATGCTCCCCGTAAGTCTCTATATTATGAAACAGGATGGAAAGCACTTGCTAATAGAGGGGAAAAGAAAAAGTTAAGCCGAACTTGATTTAAAAAAAAAATCACTCCTTTCATCTACAATATTAACATGGAATGCTATGCCTATACCTAGATAAGATTGATTGATTGATTGTATACTGTATAACGTCCCTCTCCAGAATATTTCACTGATATGGAGACGTCACCATTGCCGGTGAAGGACTGCAAATTTAGGCCTATGTTCGGCACTTACGGCCTTTGAGCAGGGAGGGATCTTTATCGTGCCACACCTGCTTTGACAGGGCCGAGCCTCGGTTTATACGGTCTCATCCGCAGGACCACCTTTAACGACAAGCAAGGGGATACTGAGAACCTATTCTAACCCGGATCCCCACGTATAAGAAACCAAGATACTGTAAATGCCTTCAAAAAAGACGCTTTGATGGTAAATATCCCCCAAATATTTTTCTTATGGTGAAAAAAATTAAATTTTAACAAGGAGGATATAAAGATAACGAACAGTATTTAATATCAAAGTCCAAAAAACAATACAAAATAGCAGCAGAGCAAACACGGACCTCTGAAACATCAGAGGTGGGATCAAGTGCCATAGAGGAGTGGGCATCTCCTGCCGACCGGTCACACTCGCCGTGTGCTCCTTGTCATCCGTCGTCAATTCAGTGTATAAATAATTGACTAACATTTAGTATGAAAAACTTCAGTCAGAATGTGACTCAGTGATAAAATGTATTTTCTGACAAGGTTATTGTATCGACCACAGAATTTACAAAATGATGACTTTAAACGAAATTGCTGATATTCTTGTTTCATCAACTTGCTCGTCAGTAATTTACCGTTGTAGAAATTGTTCATACGTAGAACATGTTCTTGCGTATCGAATTGATTGCGATATATATATTCCGTACACAGCTGATGAAGGCACATTGTTGCATAAGTAATGGAAGTTAGGGATAGAAAAGATAAAGTATTCATGTTTATGATACAGCTTGGTTGTAAGATTACCATTTACTCCTTATTCAAGTAAAATATCCAATATGAAACAGATGTGTCAGACTATGTGGTATCTTTTATCTCAAGCTCACCAGGATATATTGTATCGACGTAGGAATGGAAATTACCATTGTTAATTGACAATGCGTCTTCGATATATCTAAATGATGAGTTGAAGGCCACGTTAAATGTTACATGTATCTTCTTTTCACGCATAAGATTCTGCACAAATTCTGCTTCACATGAATATAAAAAAAAGTATGCAAATAACGGAGCGCAATTGGTATCAATGGAAATTCCAATAGATTGTTGGAATACCTGGTCTCCAAAAACCATATAGATATTGTCAATCAGAAACTCGAGCATCTCGTTTATGTCAACTTCAGAGTACTTGTGGATGCAATCAGAATATGTTTTAACAAAATAATTTTGCAGATGACCAATGACCAGGTTTTTTTTTGAGTTTGGTAAAATCTTGTGATTTCAAATTATCCAAAAGTTTTTTGGAAATTTTGAGTATCCACATCTGATTCAAACCACTTCTTGAATATATTGTTGCATAAGATTTGTAAAGTTTTTTCCCTCACTCAATATCTTAGTGAGGAGTAAAGAGTGAGGAGTAACGAAAGAGGCTTAGTTGAACATTTACTGGAACCCGCAATGTATCTTTGTTAAGGATTTTTATGAAGTTTTTGAATCCTATATATAGGTGAGTTAAATTCATTTTGGCTCTGTGGAATTTTAGAATATTAAAAACTGACGTATGATTTTGAAGAAGTTTCTTTTTTTGAATGGGAAGTATGAGTATAAGTAGGATTATCACTTGTAGAATTAAATTCAATTTGATCTAAAATACAACTAATATAATGAGCCTTACAATCGACGAAAATGTTGTTACTTGATTTATCGGCAGGGAGCAGTACGTACTGATCATGTAACCTATCTTATTCTTTTTTTCACTTCATGATTTTTGTACACAGAAGAAGAAATGATTTTTATATTGCCCCTAAATCTTTTAATACGCGACTTTAACTTGGATCTGATACATTTAATCCATTTTGTCAAGGTGTTAACTTCTTTTTTATATCTGGTCCATCGTATGGCGTGATTTTCAACAGAATCTATAATATTTATGAAAATTTTGACGCCAATGGAAGGATTCGGGTTCCATATACTTATAACCTTTTAAAATAAGTGATATAAGGTCCTCATCATTATCTATAAGTACGTCACCTGTAATAACGTGTCCAGTAGGACTATAGTTATAGGGCAAAGAAGAACATGAACACAATGGAGGAATGTGTTTAAGATACTCATATCCAGGCCATGTTAAGTTGTTTTGTAATTGAAAAGTTTGGAAGCAATGATCGATGTATATTTGTAGGATATACAAGGTATAGTCTTTAACTTGAAATATAGTGGAATGCAAGACTGGACCCTTTTGTGATTGAGAATATTACTTATATGAACAGAGTCGATCAATTCCATTTTTGACGTATTGAAGTTTAAGGAAGAGACGGATTGTTTAGTTCCATTTCTTCCGTAGAACGTGTAGGGTTAAAAGCCCATGATTTGCAATATCCATAATCACAAATCCGAGCCTATTTTCCGGTGTAGAGGAATAAAAAAAGTACTTTTCTTGGCCATTCAAGAAGACTATTTAAAAGTTTCAAAGGGACAGACTTAAGTTTGGTGCGAATATAATGTAGACCTAACTGTTGATTTACATAAGGTAGAAATTAATCAAAAGAGACGTTGTGCATTGCAGGTTTATTTAACGACCGCCCTAGAAAAAAAATTAACTATAGTTTACTATAGTTAACGATAGTAAATCAAAGTGTCAAAGTTTTTGCCAAAGTTTTTTTTGAAGTGTCAAAGTTTTCGCCAAAGTTTTTTAAAGTGTCAAAGTTTTTGCCAAAGTTTTTCAATGTGTCAAAGTTTTCGCCAAAGTTTTTCAAAGTATCAAAGTTTTCGTCAAAGTTTTTCAAAGTATCAAAGTTATCACTACAGTTAATTAAAGTTTTCAAAGTGTCAAAGTTATAACAATGGTTAACTATAGTTACTTATATTAAACTATAGTTAACTATAGTATTTTTGGTAAAGGCCATGCCCATGACTACGATTACGTTTCTGTGTATGGTTAAAAAGTCCCATCATCACGGGCCGCAAGAAGGCGGTCGGTTATTTGATATGAAAATTTGAAGTCGTTGTGCGTTTCTGCGGAGTTAAAACAATTTAAATAAAAAAAATTACATTCATATATAATACAATATTTATAAAACAGAGTGTCATAATTACCATAAACTTTTAATTTTTTTGTAAGTATGGGGTAAATGTTTCATTCAATCCAGATTGACAAACTCTGACCTGACTGAAGTGCGAAGACAAAAAGCACACATGTTGGGCATTGTCTAAAGCAAAGATCATGATTTGAAACTTGCTGGATACCTTTATAATGACAAATATAAATCAAGTTTGATTTCTTTAGTATACAATTGTTGTTCAACCATGCAAAATAATCTGTTCTGATCAAAGAATTTGTGTGTGTCAAATGACATTGAAAGACGTCAGGAGTCTTTCTTTGTAAGGCAGATCCGAGACATTTCATTCATATTCAAGTAATAACTGAAATGTCCATATTTAAGTAATTAATTTTTCATACACGGACTCTAATAAATTGACAATCTTAAGAGAGAAAAAGGGAACCTGATAGGGGATATGTATTGCTAAAGCAATACACTCAGAATGCTTGTTTTTTAATAACAGTATTTGTGACTTAGCGCATTGTTTACCGTGCCATGCAGTTTAAAAATAAAGCTCGCTTGAAAATTCATATTTTGTCAATTAATTTGGTTTTTACCATAGCAATTACATGTTTTAAAAGAGCTAGCAGTTTTTATTATAATTTTTTTTTCAGGACACTGGATGATAAAAACGATCTTCTATGCGAATTTGAAAAATGGTTTAGCAATAAATACAAAGAAAAAAACCTTGTACATTTTTATTATGGAAAAGCGGACATTCCTATTGAAAAAATTAAAGATGGTGATGAAGTAATTGTTGCTGTTATTGACAAAATGAAAGATATCGAAAAGGAAACAACATTTAAGAATGATGAAGAAGACATCGCGGTTATTTGGAAGGATTGGAAAGAAGAATCAAATGAAGTATGTGTAGAATTGGAGGAGGAACAATATCTCCAAGAACAGCAGATTGACGAATTAAAAAAAATCGAAAAATACCTGGAAGAAAAATCAAAAGATTTGCTGAAAAAGCATTCAAACTTAGAAATGATAATGGCTTCAACGTATAGAATACAAAAAGGAAAAATAGTTAAAGAACCTTGTGTCGTTTTATACTGTTCTTGCAAAGGCATAGTGCCTATCAATGAACCGAAGTTTCCTTCCAAAATACATGAGATCAAAACAGATGTAGAGAGGGTTTTTTTCATCTGGATTGCAATTTCAATGAAGATGTCTGTGCCGTTTCTAAAGATTTACTTAATCCATTGAGAATGGGTGCTAGCATTGGAAAGAAAGGTTAGACAATTTTTTATCCCTTTATTCTAATTTAATTTCGTTTTTCGTGAGTCTTCCAGAAGTTAACATAACTGAAATTTTTGGCAATGAAAATCAATAATGTTTAGAAAGAACTATTTTTGAGTTGATAAACAAGTTTAGTAGGAAAAACGCAAGCTAACTTTCGATTCTACTTTTTACTAAAGTATTCAAATTAAATATTAATATCGCCTTTGAATGCATAGAAGGATTTTATTGTAATTGATTAATAAATTCTTATAGTTTTAAAAACACTTTCCTAAAATATGTAATTGATCTTAATCAGAATTTTTTATAACCGTAATATCTATAGAAAATTGGGGTGAATTGTTTTTTCTCTGTTCCATCCATCCATCCTCCTGTCACATTCTCCAAACTCCTCTTTCAATCTAAACAGTAACAAATTAATCTTTTGGAATATAAAAGATAGTGTTATGTAGATGTGCAATAAAGTCTTGAAATTTCAATTTGACTTGAGGGGGGAAGGGGGGTGGAATGAGAGTCAATAATGACAATTTTTTGCAACAAACATCTGGTTCCTTGTATGTTTTAAAACTTTTACTCAATAGACTTTTGGAAGATAATAAGTGGTGTCCTTTGATGTGAAATAAGGTTTTAAATTTTCATTTTTACCTTCAGTATCAAAAGAGGATTGGAAATGAGGCTTTCATTTATAAACCTATTTCCAAAAACTCCAGTTACATTTTATGCAGAAGCCAATCAACTTTTAAAAGACGATTGCTGGTGTCCTGTGAATTTGCAATGGGTTTCAGATTTTCAGAATATTTTTTTAAATAAAAAAACAAATATAAATAATTTTGCATCTTCGTATAGCCTATTTGAAAATCAAGACTTATTAAAATCACAACAAAATAATTTGATGAGTAGCATTTTGAAAGAATTTTAAGACAATTCTATTATTATATAGTATTAATATATTATTATGGAAACGCTGTTTGTCAAAGTCAGAACTGGCTGTACAGAGTTATCTTTCTTATATTGTCTACTTCTACTTCATGTCGATTTGAAATCAGATCAAAACTGTACGAGAAATAGTGTTCTAAACTCTCAATTTTAAATAACCATGACAAGACAGTCGATAAACAAAATAATAATTGCACGGTGTTCTGATTTCTTATTGATTAATATTAATGTTGCTGTATCTCTCTACGTTTTCAGTGCAATCTTTGAAATCTAAAAAGGTACTTTTTATGCCAATATATGAGACGTACAGGTATGTTGTAGTTTCTGGATTTAACTGCATGCGCATGGATTTTAATCTGGTTTGCTTATGCTAAATGTACTAATCGTGCATTGTTATAATCCAAAAAACTTTGAAAATACGTTATTAATTAAAGTTTATAAAAACAGATACTTCGCTCAATTGAATGAATCTTTTAGGGAAAGACGCCTCAAAGGGAGTAGGAAACGCTTGGGGGAGGACGCATTTTCAAGGGTTTGCGTTGCAATAAGATCTATTTCATTTCTGTTGACAAGACCTTTTATGCCTACCACAATTTAATTTACCTTTGGCTTTGCGTTTGCTCTGAATTTGAGAAAAGTCATGATTTATCATTTTATTTCATTGCTTTATATTTATATATTTTTAAAGACGACATTTATGTCCCTGTATGAAAAGAGGGGGGAGTATAGTGATGATAATGTCGTCCGTATGTCCATCCATCTGTCCAATCGTCCGTCTGTTAATCTTTGTGATACCCTTCTCATATCAGCAACTCTTCTAATAGCACTGAATAAAATTAAATGAGACTTTCACAGAAGCTCTTTCAGAAAGTGTATATGAAGCACCCTTTATTTTACTTTTTGATCGAACATATATTTCAGATTTCTTATGGTTAGTCCTTGACACTTTTTTAAAAGTACATTGGTTATCTTTATACCTGTACTTTTGAATAAAATTTAACGATTCTTTCGTAGAATCTTTGCTACAAGGAGATTGGACACGCATTTCAGGTTCCCCGTAGCAAAACTTTGATATCGCCATTCTTTCTAAACATCTTCTGCTGTACCTATGTTTTAACTGCAAATCCTCCTATGCCACAAATGAATTTATAAATCTCACATAATTCGTATTACACTGTGCCATTGTCCATATTTTGCTTTGTTTTATTCGGACAAATATCCTGGCTTTCTTATAGCAGAACAATGAACTTTGCCATTGCATACATTATTTATACACTGAATTCACAACGAATTATTCCATTATTTCTCGATCATGACAAGGAGCACATGGCAAGTGTAACCAGTCGGCAGGGGATGCTCACTCCTCAATGGCATCTGATCCCACCTCTGATATTTTGGAGGTCCGTGTCCGCTCTGCTCCTATTTTGTATTGCTTCATGGACTTTGATATTGAATTCTGTTCCTATCTCCAAATCTTGCATTTATATGGAAATCATATTGTGAGTTAACTGACTTCTTGTTTAAAAGGTGTTGCTGTTAGAAACATACAGAACATTCTACTTTCAATACATTAAAAAATTTCAGGCGGACAAACAGAAGGAACTCTTGGTGGATTTGTTAAATCCAATGAGGAGGTTGCGTTTATAACATGTGCTCATAATTTCTACGGCACTAATGAAATGGAGACGCCCGAACTTCCCAAAGCTCCAATAACCGTGGTACAGCCTTCCCATTTACAAGAAGGATCGCAAGAATGTGGTAAAACTGTACGATCTGTTTCCTCATTTTCTAACATTAATGATGAAAATATTACAGTCGATGCAACACTTGTCAAATTGACAGAGAGGTGTCCAGAACAGTTGTTTTTTGCAGACCTGAAAACGGCAAGATTGAAAAACTATGGTGAGCTATTATCAGATAATTAGTTATAATCAACGGCAACCAATCTTTTTTTAAATTCATATAACAAACTGTCTAATTTGTTAAAACGAATTCATTGCATTTATCATGGAAGCCGGTAGGTACCAGGTAGAAAAATATTTTATCTGGTGCCCATCACAAAAATAACTGGCGACCACCAAATAATTTTTTGGCTGCCGCCAGATAAGGCTGCCAGATAATGATCGTTGAATTCAATAAAATATTAAAAAGGTTTAACATATGAATTCCAATGGAAAACCTTGATTGTCTATCGTAGTCCAACCCTACGCAAGGTGTCATTATTTTAACAAACTTGAATCTACTCTACCCAAGAGTACTTCCATATAAGCATATGATTAATGATGGCTTCGCTGTTCTTGAAGAAAAAAAATTCTCCATAAATTCCTATGTGGCTCACCATGGCCCCATCTTTTAGCTAAATCTGGGGAATAATGATTTGAACAAATTTGCAGATGCTTCCAAATATATTATTAGTCTTTTTGCTGCTCTTCAGAAGATGTCGCTTGGCACAATGGTACGACCGTCTGCTCTAGAGTCGCAGAGTAAGGAGTTAATCCTTACCTCGGGGTTTTGACTTCAAGTATGGGACCAGCCTCTCTGATGAGACCGCATACACCAAAGTCCCGCGTTGCAGTAGCTGATGACATGAAAAAGATCCCCTGCTGCCCAAGGGCTGTGAGTACCTAGCGTAGGTCAAAATTTGCAGCTCTCCAAAAGCAAGTGATGGTGTCCATAAGAGTGAACAAATATCGAAAGGGAAATCAAGCAACAAACACACAAAAAAATCTTTAAAAGATTTTCCTATATATTTCTTTTCAAAACTTTGATTATCCATTGTTGCCCCTCCCAATATCCGAGGTCATGATTTGAACTTGAATTTACACTACTTCAAGATGCTTCCATATAAATATTAACCATCATACCTTTGCCATTCTTCAGAAAATTTTCCTATATATTCCATATAAACATGAACAATGTAAACTTTGAACGCCCATTGTGGGTGAGGGGCACGTTTTAAACAATTTGAATCCACACTGCCTGATGATGTTTCCACTTATGCTTTCTTTTTCCTGGCCCAGTGGCTCATTAGATGACGAACTTTTGAAAGATGTCTAAAGATTACTGATTTATATTATCTCCCCTTTGAAAAGGGTATGGCCTTTCAATTGAACAATTTGAATTCCATTTATCCATAGATACCTTGGATCAAGTTTGGTTGATATTGACTTTCTTTGTTATATAATTTTTATCCTTAATGTTTACCTTTCTGTAGCACTTAGATATTACTAACTTTTTCCCCGATCCAACATTTGTGAAGGCATACATGTCTACAGGGATATTATAAGATATAATGACATATGGATATCTGAGAACACAGTTGGCAAGAAAGTGATTATTTTTTTTATTTGTGACAAAGAACATTAATTTCTTTATTTATTCAAAGGGTTCTCAAGAGCTACGTTTCCTCGGTACATAGGTGGAGCTCCTCTTGACCTTAGGAAGATCGAAGATCGGGCACTCAATATGTCAAACAAGTATTTGAAATGTGGCACAACTACAGGATTGACAATGGGACATCTCGAATTAAATTTATTCAGAGGAAGACTTAGAGATGGCAGACCCAGGGAGAGTAGGAGAGACCTTCAAAATGAAATATACGAAAATCAGTTAGTAATACTTGGTGAGAACTTTTCTGCCCCCGGTGATTCTGGGTCTTTTGTTTTTCAGGTTCGGGAGGATTATATTGGCAGATTAGATTGTGTTGGAATGCTAGTTGGAGAGTGTGGAAAAAATAAAAGAGTTGTCACCCCTATAATTGCTGTGCTGAATGCTCTAAATGCAAGTCTGATCCCATTTCCTTAAGCTGGCTTCCCATCCACCCTGGATCTGCCCCTGATGTATGTTATAACAATTTATAACACTTTGGTCATTAGGTTCTTGACAAAGTTTGCACAGATCTTTTATTCAATTGCACGAATTGTTATATTTTCTGTAAATGTGGACATCTGCATGAGCAAATGCCATTGAACCCCTTTGGTTCTTTCAGCGATACAGAAAAATACATTGTTGAGGTTTTTAAAAAGTGTACTTAAGGATTAATAAGTGGATTGAAATTAAAAAAAAAATAACTTTAATGTCATCGATGAAATTTGAATAGCGTTCATAACATACCATGCAATTTCAAGGAATAATTTGATAAATGATCACATTATATGGCCGTTCTTGCGATTCAATCCTAAGCTTTTGAGCTGATTTCCCCCAGGATCTTTATTTCTAAAACTCTGCATTATATTTAATTCTTTGCATTAAAATTGGATTCTACACTACTGTACAAAAAATCTGATTAAGTCAGGAAATATATTTTTGCCAAAGAAGGTCTTATTTAAGAAAATAATAATCATTTTTTTCCCTTTCAATATATTTACAGAAGGGTTTAATTTAGATTTCAATTTTTTATTGTACACGCTGAAGAAATATCTTAAAATTTATATCATAGACCCCCATTTTTTCTTTTTCTTTTCTAAATGGACAAATTCAAGATATAAAATATAAAAGAAGAATAGTTGTCAAAAAAACAAAATGAACATTATAATTCTTAAAATAAAAGGACATATCAGCGAACTTGAATAAAAATTAAGTGCACACAAATCTGGCATCGTGAAATATTTACCAGGATTGTTTATATTACATTGATTTTAAGGTTACGGAAATTAGTTGTTAGATCACGTCTCATTATTTTTTTAAATAACGCTCAATATTTTTATTTGTTTGTTACTGATGTTCAATATAGAACGCAAAAATACAATTCATTAAGTTTCGCATGAAATTAAATCAAAATTTTGGTAAAAATATATTTACAGAAGTTCACGTTACGGAGGTTAATTCCCAAGCAATAAAGCAGTAAAAGTTAAAATTCTCGGCGAAAGTTTAAATCATAGCTTGTTTTCGGATATTAAACAAAAGTATGAAGCACTGAAATAATAATAAAAAATTGTATACCTTTAATGTAAAAACTTTTCTAAAATACCGATACGGAATCCAATTTTTAAGAGAGACAATAGTTTTTCTGTAGTTCATTTTGTTGTTCGAAAAATGTAATCGTCTAAAATAGATGACTCGCGACTAGAATCAAAGATTTCCATGGTCACTTTTAAATACGTTTCAGGTCTTTTGAAATCTGCATTCTGGTTATGGAAGTTAATCGATTTTTAGTGACATGCAGTGATTTCGCACGAAAGACGATCCACGCTTTTTTTTTTTTTTGCTAAAGTTGGTTTGATTTCATTTTATATAGAATAAAAACTTTTTTTCCTATTTATTACAATCTTTTTGGGACTCTTTTACAGCTGAGAATTATATCTTGAAGTTGTAAATAAATGAAGCGAGATTTACAGATGAATTTGTGTTTCAACATTACATTATTTTCTTATCAAAATTTGAATTGCATATATAGGTTAATATGTACAAAACTATGTGTGTATGTTGAGACTTACGGTTGAAATTAATTTTAAATTTATCTGCTCATATTTGTATTGTTTAATCGACATTTAAGCTTAAATACAGTTTGTGATGACATAAGTAACATAAGAGTTTAAAGACATTAAATATCTGGATCAAACTTTATTAACCTGTAATATTTAACAGGTTTTATTATTTTGTATTTGTGTAATACATTTATACATCTTGATTCAGTTAGGTTGTTCGGTATGGTAGGGGTACAATTTCTTTTACCAAAATTAAATGAAAACAAGATATCGCAATGTTAAAAGCTAATACATACTAATGATATTCTTTTATAAAGATTTTTAAAATAGAGAGGGTTGTAGCGGGAAAAAAGAGTTGTCGTGCTGTTCAACCTAAAGTATATTGATAATTTATTATATAAATTTATTACGATGCCTGTGAGAGGAGCTGATTTTCGTAATTTGAATTATCCAGAAATAAAGATTTAATTTTGAAAAATATATGTCGTAACAGTTTTGCATAGCATAGGAGGACAACATGCTCGTATCTTATTTGCCTGTAACTTTCTTGTCAGTAAACAGAAATCCTCATTGTACTGATTTCTTTACTTACTTTGAATATAGCTCTCTTTATTTCATTTATATATTTTTTAATTTGTATGAAAAGGTGATGTTTAACCATTCAATGTATCACAATCCTTGACGTTAAATATTACACATAATTATATTTTACGGATGCATGGGTATGTTTTAAGCATTTCGAAGGTGTTAGAGGTTTTGTACTTGTATTCTTTAATATATGTTTTCTTATTTCATAAACCATGTTAACGACATTATGATAATGTCAAGTGCAGCTAATATATATTTGTTTTAGTATTAAATCTCAATTCTTTTATATATGTTTTCTTATTTCATAAATCATGTTAAATGTTCATTTATTAAAATGTCAAGTGCAGCTAGTATACTTGTTTAAGAACTTAAGTATTTGATCTCAATTCTTTTATATATGTTATCTTATTTCATAGATCATGTTGACAATACGTTTCTTATAATGTTAAGTGCAGCTATAAACTCTGCTAAAGTACTAAATATCAATTGTTTTATATATGTTTTCTCATTCTATAAATCATGTTCACGATGCATTTATTATAATGTTAAGTGCAGCTAGTATAATTGTTTTCTTATGTAATCTCAATTCTTTTATATATGTTTTCTTATTTCATAAATAATGTTAATGAAAAGTGCTGTATTACTTTTCATGTACATGTGGTATTTAATCTCAATATTTAATAATATAAGACGGTGTTTTTAGCTCACCTGAACCGAATTATAATATGAGCAATTCTCGGTAATTGTCGTCTGTCTGTCCATCTATCTGGTCGACGCTCTGTTTGGATTTTTCTGAAATTACTGAACCAATTTCTTTTATTTAAAAAGCACAGAGGAATAGGTTGGGTAACATAAAAAACCTTCTCAAGCCTCAATTGGCCAGAATGAAAGCTTCCGGATGTAGTGTAGATATTGTTTACATCTTAACGTCCCACCCCAACCCTCCCCCTGGTAGGGTGGAGCAACAGGGGGTGATCACAGTTTTGCATGATTATATATATTACTAATATTTTAAAATCCTCTACTGAAGGTCAGGAAAATTTTTAATATTATTGTAGAAACATAACGAGATAGAATGATTTTGTTAAAAATATATGTCCAAGAAAATAGTGTGGGGCTAAAAAGAATTTTTCAATAACATACACAAGTACAGATTTAAAAAAAAAAAACATTTTTCTAAAAAGAAAAACAAAGCCTTGATCAGCCATATCAAATCGGAAGGTTTCTCGGGTAGTGTATACTAAAATTTGCTCAAATCCAGACCTCATGGGAGAAGGATTTGACCAAAATAGGCGATCAAAGTTTTACAGTGGAATATATAGGTAAAAAGTCTTTTAAAATCTTCTACTCACAACCAACGGGCTGAAGGAGTTGAAATTTTTGTGAAAGCTTCATTGCATAATAATTGGAGCACACGGCGGGTGTGACCAGTCAGCAGGGGATGCTCACTCCTTCATGGCATCTGGTAAAACCTCTAATGTTTTGGAGGTCTGTGTTTCCGCTGTTTCTATTTTGTATTGTTCAATGAACTTTTGATCTCGAATACTATTCTTCATATCTCTATTTTTGATCAATTAAAGTTTTTTTTTTCAATTGATGACCCAGGTGGGTAGGTTGAGGATACATTTGACCATCAAATATTCAGATAGAAGTAGTAGGGAAAACAGGGTATGATGACTTAGTTAAGCGCTGATGCCCATGGGTCTCTTGTTTTGAAAATAATGCTAATAACAACATCCTATTTCTTTTTTTGCTACTAATATGTTTATCTAACTTATCAGAGTGAAATTACATTATTGTGCTTTCTTCATATGGGGTAATAAAATTAGTAACAATTTATTAAATACTGTAGACGTCTTTAACTTCACGTGTCTAAAATTTCACGGTTTGTTAGAAAATTACCTACCACGGTGGTTTTAATTTCACGGAGAATCGTTTGTAATTATTCGGGTACTATGACTGTTTCTAGGTAGAAATGACGTAAAATAATAATCACGATGGTTTAAAGTTCGCGGAAAATTCTTAAATCGTGAACATAGTGAAATTAAAAACACCGTAATGTTTTCCACTTCTACAGTAGTAATATATATTTTTTATTTAAAGGATAGAGCCCAGTTAGCTGTTTGTCATGATTCTTGTAGAGTAGGAATTCCTGTCAGCTATCCCAAAGGAATTTGTAATCTACTAGAGAAGTGTGATTGTTTCGATTCAAGAATTGTCAAAAGCTCAAAATCTTAAAATAAATAATTTGAGTAATTGAGACTCAAACCAAAATTTGTAAAAATTAAACATTCAAAATATCATGAACTCGAGGTCTCAACTTGGCAGAGCTGTACCTGATTTGTTTTTAACTACATGTGTTTTTAAATTGTACATCATTTCACTTTCTTTTTGTCATTTTATACCCGGTAATTCGTTTGTCATCTTGAAGAGATGTATTTTATATATGAATGGATTTTTTTCAAAGGGTTTTGTGTTGTTGCCTTTTGATCTCTTGTTCTATTTATGCCTGACTGTATTTTTGAAATTGGAGTTCAATTTGTATACAATTTTTTTTTCATGTCTTGTTTTGGTTTCATAATATTTATTATTGATTTTAAATGTTTTAATTTTCCGTTTAGTGCATGGTCAGATTTTCATTACCGATTCATCAGTGAAAAACTGTCCATACGCCATGCAATTATGTGTTAACAAAATGTAAATTCAGACCAGAGACGATGGACTTGGGAAAAAACGAATTCAGTTTCAACTCATCAAATTTTTCATGTACATGATCAGTGTTGCTCAAAGGTCACAATGTTAAAGATTAGGTTCATTTAATTGAATTAATAAAGTGTGGAATTCGAAGTTCGCAAAAGTCAATTTAAATTAGGGAAGGACTGAAACTTTGATCACACGGTTACCACAAGCC